TACATATTGATATTTGTTATTTAGAGGAATCAGAGAAGACAGTAAAGCCCCCTGAAGCAAATAGCAAAGAAGTCAAAACACCAACAGTTGCTCGCTTAGAAGCAGACATAGATGAAGGTAGTAATAACCATGGTCATGATAATCTTCCTGATTCTTGTTATGCTGTTACTAAGTGATTTCTGTCAGTCTAACAACTTTTRAGTAAAACAGATTTCAACTGTACTTTCTTTCAGAGTCGGAAGGAGCACTTGCAAAAAGAAAAGGAACAATAAAACAGCTCGGTAAGCTATATTACCATTTTTACCGGGTTTTTTTTAATGCCAAAATTATTTTTGCGATATATTTTTTCGAAATCACTAAAATCTCCGATTAGAAAGTGGAAGCACATATATTAGAATCTAATATAATAGATAGATCTCATGGAATCATCGAAATAGCTAAAGAATTTCAGATAGGAAGCCCGAGTAAGGGCTTATTTTGACTGATAGTTTCAGATTCGAGCTCGGGCTTCCTTTAAGAATACTCCAAATTACATTTTTGCGGTACGAATTTTTTCTCGAAATCACTGAAACCTCCGATTAGAAAGTAGAATCACATATAGTAGAATCTAATTATAATAAAAAGACTTCATGGAATCATCGAAATAATAGCTAAAGGATTTCAGATAGGAAGTCGTGATCAAGCATTCCGTTAGGCTCAGTCTCCAGCCGTCGTGATTTCGTGCGCGCACGAAATCCCGACGGCTGGAGACTGAGCCTAGCATTCCGTTGTCTCAACTAAATACACACCAGGCGGCGATTCCCAAGGAACCTATTGTTATGGTTGATGATTCCTCCTGTGGGGGACTGACGCGGGGCGMCCTGTTTCTTTGCCTAATAAACACATCCGTCTGAAAGATTCGGAAAAGGAATTGTTATATCCAGGATATGGAATCCTTAAAGCTTTGATGTAGCTTTGCTGTAAATTCTCGAACGTTTTGTTCGATAACTGTATTTTTACATCCAAATGTTATAATTACTCTTGTTCGCCTGATATATAGCTTTGAAATAAACAAAGATGGCTAAGTTTTCCTTCATTTCTTTATCAATCCTATATACGGATTGTCATTCATCCTCTTCAATTGTTAACATTCACTATATTTAGATTTAATAATTATTTGATAATCAATATTAATCCATTTGTAAACTTTTATATCATCAAGAACGAAAATGTTAAACATTCGAGTGTAATGTCGGAGTTTCAAAGGTCTTCAGTTGTGTGCCATTGGTATTGCGAATCCTGGAAAATATCTTTGGCAACAGCTAGTATCTGCCTGGTTCGAGCCTGGTCTGTAAACCACTAACGTTAAGAATTTCAAGAGATTTTTGTTGTGCTGTTTACTTGAATACCAGTAATGTCTGTCTGACATGAGAACTGTACACATTTTCCTGGGATGAATTGGAAAACAATAACGACAATTTGACAGCTCGGTRAAAGCCGTCACATTACAGCGAGCACATCGGTATTCGGGCGYAAACAAGCACTCAGCACCCAMCCCACCCCCCRTCAAATAATAAATCCACTGAAGRATGATTATTCAAACCCTGTKTCTTTTGCTAATTCCTGAGYTGAGCTCTGATTGGCTCGCTGCTCCCTAAGGATTTTGGTGACGTCATATATTAGCATAGAACTTCACCGAATAGACTACCCCAATTAGATATTAAATACATTAAGTGTCTTCATAGTACGATGGTCTAAGAGGGTAGCTAAAGGTATGCTCTAGTGGGCGGCTACCCCCTCACTCCCTGGCCTTTTGGTTAAGACTAAGTTTTATATTCACTCGGGATAGCGTGGAAGGGCCGAAATCTCTAACCGTAACGTAAGCCGATTCGCCGCCTCAGCTTCATAGAATGTCTCGGGGGAATCGTCCCATCTTTTTAGTTTTTTATTTTCATTATTTCGTATGTATGCCAGGGGGGGTTACGTCTTCTCCTGAAGTGAAAGTTCTGAGTTCGAGTCCTGCTGCTGGAGTTTCTCATTTTTGCTTGTTTTCTTTTCTTCTTTTTTTTCTTTTCTTCTTTTTCTTTTCTTTCTATTTTGTTCTTTTTCTTTTCTTTTTTTTTCTTTGCTTTTGTTGTTTTTTTCCTCTGTAGATTTTCTCTTTTTAACTTAATTAAACATATCAATGACTCGCAAGGAACGCCTGTTACAAATGTATGGTTACGGTTCGGTCTTTCAACACCCTGACATAGTGACGAGAGGCCCCTAAGAACAGTAGTTTTTGTGCTGATCATTTCATGTCCGACATATAAACAACTTTATAATGATCTTTAAATTACCATTGCTGTAGATAAAGACGCWATCATGCATCTCGACTTTGACGAAACGTCTGATAAGAGAGATTTGGTTAAAGACGCCAGTGGTAACGGCAATGACGCTAGTCTAATGGACGGAGCAGCAATTACAGTCAAAACACTTGGTAATCACTTCAACACCATGAGAAACTGAATCAGTCCTATGATCCAGATAGACTCAGACAAACTCTAATGACTAGTGGCCATATAATCGCTCCAATCGTCCCAAAGCGTGTTTATCATTGCTGTTGATCACTTGAGAAARCTAGGACAATTAAAAAACGCGTTTGAAACGATTGGGGCGATCATATTGACTAAGTGGGCAATTGCCCTATTTCATTATGACGTCACAGGATGTTTACATCGGAAACGATGCTCAAAAGCAGTGGAAATTTGGACCCATTTATATTGTCGACTAAAGTAGAACTTCAATGAATCATGTTTTGATATACATCATGTATTTATGATTGTTCATGTACATTTTATTTGATATGCAGTCACTCTGATCCCCTCTGGCGACCATAATCCTTAGCGTTAAAACAATAGAATGTTTTGATGTGACGTCATAACGAACTAGGGCAATTAATCTTTTTTCTTTTGAATTGAAACTCTACACTGCTGTTGACGCTCATTATTTTCAACTGTGTTTAGATAAATGTAGAAACCATATTTTACTCTGGAGTGAAATGGGATTCTTTGACCCATAGGTACTTGCGGACGGGGAGCGATCCTTAAGAAGGGCGAAATATCCTACAAAGGAGCGTTCTTCAAGAGAAAACCAACCAAAGCCGTCACCATAGCGATGTGGGTCAAATCCAAAAACCCTGGTTTTATACGATGGTTTGACGAAGACAACACGCCAGACAAAGGCTTCTTTGCCAGCACCAAATCTGCGTCGGTGGGTAAGAACCGCTGGACACACTTAGCAGGCACGTTTGACACTAAGACTGGGATAGCACGAATCTACGTCAATGGAAAACTCAAAGTTGAGAAAGCAGGCAAAAAGGACAGCGGTTTACCGCAGGATTTTACATCGACTGGAATAGGCAGAAAGTTTGGTGATACACATGTATCATTCTTGGATGATGTTTACATGTTTGACCGAGTCCTCTCATCCKATGAAGTGCRCGCTTTGTACARGAAATGTCAGTTTAATAGAATGATTTTGCACTTTGGATTTCAACACTGGAATGGGACTACTGARGTRCTTAGTGATCAATCAGGACTTCAGAATAACGCTACTCTTAAAGGAGGTAAGACTAACATCCCCACCATCCCCACCCTTCCTTATTATCGCGAGGAAAGATACTCGGAAGATATGGCAGTAGCTTGAATATCGATGTCAGATTTTTAAAACAAATTTTCAACTAAATCTCATGGTCAGTCGAGATAAGGCGCCCCTTTTAAGTAATATAAGTCGGTGTATCGTAGAACGCGCATGTAACTTCGACAACATTGTTACCTTAATCAAGACAAATTCGGAGTCAAGAGCACGAGATTTCAAGTGCTACATTGATRACTTTTCATTAAACAAAGCAATGTATTCCTAAAATCATGAAGCGAGCTTCTCGATGACTGTTCAAAATAGCTATTCTTAGTAGAGCTTTTAGGAACACCTCCATATTTACATCGTCAGTTGCAATATGCCATTCTGTGTGGTGCTAGAAGTTAGCATGGTAACGATGGATGGGAATGGTAATGTCACCATAATATAAACAAACACACGAACATGATTCATCTCTTTCCCAGGAGCCAAAGTTCGTCCTAAAGCTGATTGCGATAAGTGCGGTGCTTGCCTTGACCTTCAATCACACAGTAATTCTCAAGTTTATYTAAATTCCACAAAGTATCGTCAAAAACCAAGATCAGCAGTTTCTATCTCTACCTGGATTAATCTAAACAGAACCAAAGGTCTTCATTCSATATTCCAGGCAGTTAACGACAAAACAGGCAATAATCTATATAATCTTGAAGTCATAGATGGTAAAGTTCACTGGCAAAGCAAAGATAAAAATGGTGAAATCATCTTCGATGCGTTAACCAATGARGTAACAATACCMGAAGGACTCTGGTGTCACGTGACAGGTACCTACAGCGCCAGGAYTGGAAATGCAAAGATATATGTCAATGGTCTTTTAAGAGCCAGTTTTCAAAATCCTGAAGAGCCGGAATTGTCAACAGCTTGGACCAAGGCGAGCATTGGCGGCCATTTTCCTGATGACAAACCTTTTAATGGGATGCTGGACGAGTTTTTTATGTATAATTGGGAGCTTGATTCGTCAGAAGTCCGCTTCGTTTCCAAATATTGTGCTGATAAACCTAAGCTTGTATCATTCACTGTCAAAGTCCCTATTCTGTAATAACAAAAAAACTGTTTCCGAGTAAAGAAAATCGCCGTCTTCAKGTTGGTTTTGCTGTGGAAACAAAGGAATGGAAATCTTCCCAGTATTCCCATCAAAACTTTGTTGGGGTTTTGGCTCATTCCAGGAAGAACCCTGAGCATGCACTTAACTGACCAGGAAATCACCCTCATATTTCTTGTCCGGCATGATAACACCAAACATCATTGGATTAAAGGATTTTTTTTGTAATTTTTCGGCAATGATTTTATCGATGTGTGAATTTTATATCATAGAGCTCTGTATATAAATTAATGCTATTAATATTGGCACAATAAATACGCGGTAATAAATCATGAAAAATGAAAAAAACTGTACTGAATCTAYGAAGCATTTATTCAACAACTGTTGCACATCTGCATATGCCACGATGATTTCTGGGTAGGCWTTYCGAAAATCAAAAATATTAAATAATAATAACAAAGAAAAAAAACTAAAACTGACGTGAAGAGGCTCGAGCACTTACGGTAATTTGCCCGTAATTTTGCCAATTACTAGTGAGTGTCTCCACTAATCGTCCATGATTTTGAGGCGTATTTAATTACAAAAACTCTTGTGTTTTATCAGACTTCAAATCACTTGAAAACAATTAAATAAATCAGCCTCGTCGTTTCAAAAAGTTTTTATCGTGTATGAAACACTGCATTCACGTATTAGTCCTTTACCACARGTGTTTATTCCATAAAAAGTGTTAAAAGAATTATTTCTGAACCTTACATGGAAATCTTGAAAGAGAACGGTCTGGAGAAGCTTGAGYCAAAATATCAAGTCAGCGGTTTCATAAACCCAAAATAACATTGGAATTCTCATAACACACGACCTCAAACACAAGAAAATATTTGTATATCAGTCTATAGCATGGATATTTTTGAACTAGAATTAAGGATATTTAGGTTGAATATATTGTTGATGTTTTCATTGGATGGCACAATAATAAACGGACGATTGTATGTAATTATTGGAATGTGTGTGAAATCAATGGCCGCTCGACTGTTAATTGTTTTTCCACCACAAAGTGTGTCATCAGCTGAGTTTTCCATCAATTTTTTACCGAACTAAAATTCTTGATGATTCGRTCTGAACATGCCAAGGAAAACTCGATGTTTCGAGTCTTTTATTCTTTAAACGATCTTATTATTTGTTAAGGTTTTTACAAGGAAGTACTTTGGAGTCAAGTATGATTGTAAACTGTTTGAAGTGACTGGCACTCAATCAAATATTTAATTTGTTAAGAATCGAACAGCTGATCAATGACCTTCTTGAAATTTGCGGTTTCGTAGAGAAAATTAATTGATATGGAACAGGTCTGTCTGAGCGTCTTTGCCATGAAATTTTACTCTAAAAAACAGAGAAGATTTATAATTCCTAAGCTAATTTTTTAAGTGGAATAATTGATGTTTGAAAGTGCGCGAATGTTGTAAAAGTTGTGTGTATAGTATTTTGTGTAATGGTATGTTTATATGGTCAAGATAAGACTCATCAAAACAGCGGTTAAACAAACTGTGTTTTGTATACATAAATCTGTCCTATCATTAATACATGGTGAAACTATGACTTCTAGGGTTCGATATAARTGCTCCTAAGACTATCACGCAAAGACAAGCAAAACTGACCTGGTACCAAACATTTCTATGGATCGAGTTAGTACTTTGCGCTCTCCCAAACCCCCTCGCAAAAGACATGCGAAAAACGAATTGATTCAGTGTCCAAGASTGGGAAATTACAACAGCAATTCGAAGAAATGCCGAATTCGCTTGAATGTAGGTGGTATATATTTTGAAATTCTACAAACAAAGTTATTGCAATTTCCTGATACACTCCTTGGAGGCGATAGAAAAGAGTTTTACTACGATGAAGAAAGGAAAGAATATTTCTTTGATCGCGATCCTTTGACGTTCAAGTATGTGTTGGATTTTTATCGTACAGGGAAGTTTCACATATCAACCCCTGATTGCATGGAGTCAGTACGAGACGAGTTGAACTTTTTTGGTATTCCAGAAGCATTCGTTTCGGAATGTTGTTGTGAGCACATCGCCTTTGAAAAAGGAGAAGAGGAGGAATCATTAGATAGTCACAAAGTCCAACCGCACGACCACGACGGTAGGAGGAAATTGTATAAATTTTTAACTGAATTCGACAGCTCGCTCTGGGCTACTTTCTTTAGCTACTTTTTTGTGATTGTTGTCATTATAAACATTTGCCTGATTGTGAGCGAGACGTTGGAATGCGAAAACTTCAAAAAATGTGGTGACCACTACACGACCCTCTACTTTGTTGTGGACTCGTTCTGTGTTGCAGTTTTCACGTTTGAATATTTTGCACGACTCTTTTCGTGTCCCAACCGCATCGAATTTATGAAAGAATACTCGAACGTTGTGGACTTAATTGGGATTTTACCGTACTACATCGGGATTGTCGAGAGAATCATCAATACAAGAAACCTCACTTTGCTGTCAGTCATCACAACTTTGAGAATTTTCAGAATTTTTCGGGTGATCAAGTTGGCCCGCCATTCTGAACAGTTTCAAAACCTTCTTCACTCTATTTGGCAAGCTGGTGGAGAACTCGGAGGAATTCTGTTCTCGTTTCTTGCTCTTATGGTCGTGTTCTCCTCCATTATATATTTTGTGGAAGATGGCGGCGCCGACAATCCTGATGGATTTACGAGTATTCCCAGTGCATTCTGGTATACTTTGGTTACCATGACGACACTCGGGTAAGTTGATAGCAGGGCACTTTTTTTCTTGTACATGTAGTTTACTGGTTTTTAAATGAATAATCAAAATAATTTGCTTCATGGCATCATTCACTTCATTATCATTTTGATGTAGGTACGGTGACATGTATCCAACAACGACAGTCGGGAAGCTTATCGGATCTGCMTGTGCTTTGGCAGGAGTTGTGTTATTAGCMTTACCTGTACCGATCATAGAAGAAAAGGTATCGTCTTATTTCGTACAGTCCAATCCATTGRTATTGCTTGTACTGAAGCAAGACCAAAAAGCACCATGATTTTGTATTTCAGAAAAAGTCTATTGGAGTATTTTCTTCGATAAGACCGCTTGTTGGGGAAGCGGGTCTGGATGTGGACCGCTCCTTTCCTTTAAAAACAACAATAACAACAACAAACAAACAATATCTTTAATCGAAAATCTGTTAAGTGAACCTCTTTATACTCTTAATATTACACACACGAATCTCTATATAACGGACATTAACGATATTTTCCCTTAAGCGAAGGAAACGTTTTTCTCTCTCGCGTAGATGAGGATTTTAGAGCGTCCATCTCACAGGGTGTATTGCAATATGTTAATGGTATATTATTTCTTTTCCAATTTCACAGTTGAACGAAAACAACAGAAAGCTGAATCGAAAGAAAGAATCAAAGATGATGACAGTCACTGACAAGCTGASCAAAAGGCTTGCGGTCTCCCTTGCATCTCTCAGAAGCTTCCAAAAGCGATTGCGGCAAGCTACTTCCCAGTCTAGCTTGGCCGTGGAGGTATCATACGRCGAAACAACGGAAACAAAACGATCGATCGATGATTTATCGATTGATGAATCTTCATCCGGAGATGAAACGATCAAAGCATCGTGTAATGAAATACCTTTTATGCATCAAATTGAGGTGCACCCCAATCCATCGTGCAATACAAGCAATCATTCTACGCCTTCTCCGCAAAGCTACCTGGGATCGTATGAGTCAATGAAGTATAGTTCAAGTGACATGGGATCAAATGAATCCTGTAACGACAAAATAGAGTTACARACCATCAACGCGGATTCTGTTTTTAAGCCATGCGCACTGATTCGCCAAGGTTATTTGGAGGAGCCGTTTACAGAAAAACCTGGGACTAATATCGAAACCGCTGACTATGCATCAGATCACCGAAAAAGTGAACAAGAAAATGAATTTTCACGCGGTTGGATCTCGTCGATTTAAAAACTTTTCCTTAGACTTCTAATGATATTTCCCTGTCTGATGATTTTGCTAATTACCATCATCTTTATAGAACACAAATATCTTAATCTGTTCAGGGAGTCTCGCCTGGTTAAATTCTCTAGTCATATCAATAGTTTAAATGTTCCTTTTCGATACAATCGACACCATCATGACAGATCTTTGTCTGATTCGATATAGATTCGATTCGAGTGCAACTCTATGCGACAAATATGACTGATATATAATCGATTTTCTCTACGAAATATTAGGATTATATTCGATTCGAATTCAACTCTATGCGACAAATATGACCAAAATACGACGATATTCGATTCGAATTCAACTCTATGCGACAAACATGACCAATATACAACGATATTCGACTCGAATTCAACTCTATGCGACAAATATGATCGATATACGACTATATTCGATTCGAATTCAACTCTATGCGACAAATATGATCGATATATACATGGAAACCATGAGAAAATTAAGACATTATGATAGTATATTTCAAATAATTTTTTGGATTTGTGAAAATGTCCGCAAAAAGGCCACATGAACTGATGTTTCTGCCTCCAATCACCGATACAAACCAATCGGGCACTGTATCATTTAGCTTGGCTGCGGCTGTGAAAATACTTAAAATCATTTTTTCCCTAATAGTATTTGTAATGATATTAATATAATTGTTAGTTAAGAAAAAATAAAGTTAAGGAAATTTACAATTTGTTTTTGTGTGAGAGCGGTTGGATAATAATCTATCGATTCCGACCATCTTATCTACTCCGACCACCCTTTGCGCTTGCTGAATAGSTCGAAGAGACAGAAACTGTGCGTTAWTGATTTTGTTYTTTYCTTTTCTATTCTTATTTTTTCTCTTATTTCACATGACAATAAGCAATCAGCTTTTATWTATTATCGATGAGATTACAACTGAAAAGACCGAAAATTACTCTCCAAGCTCAAGATTGTCCCAGCAACAGTTCCACCTGCATATTTCCCTTATCATAAAACGCGAGAATCAATTTTTGAAGAGTTTAATATAACATATTATTTTGGGAATTTTCTCACCATCAAAATCAAATAATCATACAAAAGTTGTACTATTCAATTAGAAATGTCGACAAATATTTATCCTCRAAAGTCTCGAAAAAGCTTCCGTTTGTAATCGTCACAAAATTGAAAGGACTGAAAGCGCTGTCAGTTAAACAAGCGATTTCGGGCCGACCTTTATACATAGAAAAAGGGTCTAAGCTTCTAATACAATATCTTGGGCCTCATCTCCAGCATGCTTGAACGGGTAAGGTATTGACATTTAAAAACTATCAAAAATGTAAAAAATTGCGTAATTAGTTATCTTAAAGATCAGCATAATTTCCTTAACTACACCTTATTTTCATRGCACATTTATTTCATAGTTTTATTTCATGATTAGTTGTTTTATATTTCTATTTTTTCGTTTCGTTAAGGAGTTTTAGTTTGCTAATTGCAAGCATTCCGTATTTAACAAATTGCATTTCAAATGTATTTGGCTTTTAAGTAGAATATTGTCAATTAGCAAACCAGGATATCACAACACATTATCAATCCCTAAATCCATTWAAAGGTTATATTCCACTTCAAAATCAATCCATATCGATTCCATTAGRCCATTGCACCAAATCTAATGACCTTTTATTCATCCTTATCGTATCAATTACCCTGTCGAATAACATCAGATTCAATGGAACTACTGTGGACTAGACTCCTTAAATAAAATATCAAARGGGTTTTCAGTTCTGATTCAACAACGATTTTCAGTTTTCTAAAAAGATAACGTTCGTTAATTAAAGTGTTTAAATTTAAAAAGCAAACAACGTCACAATGAAGACATATCCTGATGGCTTACCACCGGTCAATGTCATCGCCCACCATCACACGACGTCATTAATATAAAATAGCGCGGAAATAGTGYGTGATGATAAAACATGACTATATGACACAGTCTGACAGTTGCACGGCGGCTTTGAAGTCTAAAAACCAAGTCGAGATGGTTTGAATGCATCCATTTTTTATCACAATACTGATTCCAAGTTTGATGGGTTAAATCGATCGATACAAGCTCGCCATTCCATCGACTTTAATCGATTGAAAATTAATCCAGGATCGCGGACACCGTCAGGATTGAGAATCGATCGAAACGACACTCCATTTGAGCGATAAAAAATGGGCTCAATCAAGACTCKACTCTCCGCTTCTCCCTGTGTTCATTCAATACAACATCGATTTTACGTGGATCTAATCYAGATGAATTGAAGTCGTTTCAATGAAAAGGCTTTTCAGATTTGATCAAGAAGATGTTGTATCTCAGGAGAGGTCTCAAAAATAAATGAATTYGTCCGCCCAGAGTACATGAAACACCTGTTATGAAGTGCCTTGAATTGTTTCTTCAAATAACCTTCAAATTAAAACCCAAAGTGTTTAGAAGTAACTTGAGGATAATTTCCYGCACACTTAGCAACGCAGTCACGTGGCACAGCAGTTTGCTTGGGCGTAGGGTGTCATGATCAAGRTTGTCATGTTCCGTATTGAGCTACTACTTCATTTTGAAATGATTCAATTGTGATGAAAACTAGGCTCCTCCCTAGCAACTCTTTTTTCCTCCTTTGGGCTTCCTTTGTAACGTCTTGTTCGCGAGGGACTATTTACGAGAAAGGAAAAATAAGAAGAGGAGCATATGGAGCATTTGTCAGCTTCTCGCCTCGTCAGTAATGGTGAATTATATGAGGAGATGTGAAATAAGTAAATAAGAAAAGGAGAAGACAACACTTTAWTRMT